TCTCAAATCGCCGGCGGATTCGTTGCTGGACCGCGCGGGGGGGGGGGGTCGCTGTTGGCCCTCGTCGGCGTTGCAGGTACCCATTGTTGTCCTTCCTTTCTCTGTCTCGTCGCCGGGGTCCAGGTCGTGTCGAGGTTGTCAATGGCGGAAATGGCAGGCTGGGATTCCTAGGGTTTCTGGGGTATCAACTGCCTCGTATGGTCGATTTGGTGTAGACGTTTTCGTGTGTGCTTCCGTTCGACTCTCGTGTCCTTGGATTTGTGCGGCAGCAAGGGACAGTGGTGGTGGGGATTCATGGGGGAGAGTGCGTTGTTGCTGGTGCAGTGGTTGTTGGGATTTGCGCTCAAGGCACACGTCCGTGGTGGCCTTCTGCTGTCCTCCCTCTGTCTGTCTCGTCACCGGGGCCGAGGTCGTGTCTAGGTCGACGGTGGCGGATGTGGCGGGCTGCATAGGGATCCCTTGTTGTGCTAGCTTCTATTCGACCTTCGTACGCTTCATTTTTGTGCAGTTGCAAGGGGTAGTGGTGGTTGGGATTCATTATCGAGCGCTCGTTGGTCATGTCGCAGTGGTGGTTGGGATTTTGCGGTTGAGGCTGAGGTACCGGTGCACCCAATATACCATGTTCTGGTCTCGGCTATGGGAAGTTTATGAAGTGGTTAGCTAGGCATTGCTGTTCGTTGAACTTTGCTGTTCTTAGTTGTGTTCTAGTTGCACAAGTTGCTGTGTAGTTGGTAGACACCTATGTTCCAGTTGCACAAGTTGTTGTTCTCAGTTGGATATATGGTTGAACTAGTTGGTAGGCAATTTTAGTCCAGTTCCACAAGTTGATGTACCTAGTTGGCTACCTGATTGGCCTAAGTGGTTAGTTGTTTTAGTCCAATTGCATAAGGTGTTGTACTCAACTGGCTTCCTGTGTGAACTATTTGGCTAGTCATTTTTAGAGTTGCATGAGTTATTAAATTCAGTTGGTGATTGACATGTTAGTCCAGTTTTTTTGTTTTTCTTAGTCCGACTGCGTTTCTTCTAACTGAGAATAAACTATCAGTTGGCTGCATCACTATACTAGTTGGCTGTCTATATGTTGCGCAATTTGCACTAGTTGTTCTGCTTAGGTGGCTTCTTGTTTGTTATAGTTGGTTGTGCATATATTGTCCAATTGCACAAGCTGTATGTAATGCCCCGAGACCGTTGCGCCATGTGTCTTCCAGTTATTCGCTGTTGTTGCCTTGTCATTTGTTTGCGTGTCATGCATTTCATATCATATCATCATGTGCATCGCATTTGCATACGTGTTCGTCTCATGCATCCGGGCATTTTCCCCGTTGTTCGTTTTGCAATCCGACACTCCTATATCCTCCGACGCCTCCTTTTGCCTCTTCTCGTGAGCGGGTGTTAAACATTCTCGGAATTGACCGAGATTTGCCAAGCGGCCTTGGTTTACCACCGGTAGACCGCCTGTCAAGTTTCGAGCCATTTGGAGTTCGTTTGATACTTCAACGGTTAACCAAGGAACCATAAAGGCCTCGTGTGTGTTGCAGCCCAACACCCCTCCAAAGTGGCCCAAAACCCATCAAAACCCCCTCCATCCTCTCGGTCGTTTGATCACAATCGCGTGGCCGAAAACCGCACCTCATTTGGACTCTCGTAGCTCCCTCTACCTATATATATATGTGTCTTCCCCCGAAATTTCGCGCAGATGAAACCCTAGATCCATTCCTCCCCACGCCACCGGACATGTCCACCCGCCATCGGACGCGTCCACCGCCGCCGTCCACCTCACTCCGACCAATCGGGTCGTGCCACATCATCGCCGCCGTCCCCGTGCCCAATCCCGCAGCGCCACACGTCCTCCGCGTGCCTCCCACCGTGCCGCGACCCGCGAGGCCCACGACCGGCCCGCCCGCGCCCCG